TAGATCATAGACCATGCAAATGCTAGCTGATGAGAGTAGAATTTACCATATTTTTATCCACAATTATTATGTCTTTTATACCGAATTAGCATCTAATTGGACTCATATTTCTATTCAGGGCATGAAATAAGGCATCAGGAGCAAAGAAAGACAAATCGGATGATTTTTCACAGTTTCGACATCGTTCAGTAATTTGGGCCTAACTCGCGTATCCGAACTCCGAATGGGCTGATTCAAGACCCACTGGAAAGATAAGAGAAAAAACCACAACTTTCATGTTTTGGGTTTTCGCAGATTCGGCCTGCATCGAAGTTAAAACCGGGCCCGAAGATGGGGAAAATTCATAGAAAGGCCCAATCCGCAGCTGAAGCCCAACTTGCAGAAAAGCCTGGTTGAAGCCCAATTCGCAGAAGAGGTCTAATACGAATCCAAGAACAAGAAACTGAGAAGAGTCCTTCCAGATCTAAATTCTTGATGTAATCTTAGAGAGATAAAAGGATTGAGTTCATTAGATAAAAAGATAAGATTAGAATTAGGATAGGACTTTCTATTTTTGTAAAGATCAACTTCAAGAGGAAGTAGGAGACCACCCCCTCCCCTTTAAGCTATATAAAGGAGGGGGCGGACCAGCTTTAGGCATCACACAATCACTCAATCTCTGGATTGAATCAAGAAGCAGAGGAGCAATTCAGCTATCAAGCAAGAAGTCTGCAAGAAGGAGGTGGCGGTAAGGAGAAGAGGAGATCTCAACTCCAAGGGCAAAACCATGAGTTATTTCTTTCCTCTTGTTTGTTTTATTTCTGCTAGTATGAATTAATTTATCTGTAGTTAGGGTTGTGGAAAGCCTAATCACATCAATGAATATATTTTTATTCTGATTTATTCAAGATCGTGATTTCCATATAGTCTATGAATTATCTTGCTTAATGCTATTAGGAGTGACAATCTCTTAATTGAACAGGCGTATGTGAATGAATCGAGAGAGGAATTCATATAACTGACCACATAATTCATTATGTGAATTGAATGGTATATAGGGGTATATATACATGATTCATCTGAATATAATAGTTTTTCCTTGGACTTAATGCGTTTATATCTTGAGAACTCTAGTCGAGAGATCGAGGGGTTACCTGATAGAAGTAGTTTTAATATATCTCGAGAGAGAATATTAAATAAAATTGGAAAAACTTCAGCTTATGGGAATGACAAATTATCTTGGATAATCTCATCCAATAATATTCATTGGAATGGTTAGGTGGACCGAAAGCCCTAGCGAATTCAACCAATCGTTACATACTTCAGCATTATTACTTATGCTCTTATTTTTCTGTTTCTGTTTTTTCACTAGTTCTTATTCTCAAATCTGAAATTTGATTGTCCAAATAATTGGGGAAGGTTGTAGTTCTAATACTTATTTTGTTAAATCATCATGGGAACGATATTTTTATACTACTTGATAACTAATGCACTTGATAGAGTTATATTTATAGCTGTCACTAGCTATTACTAAAAATTTTTAAGGGAATTCATGGTCAGAGGGTGTAACAGTCTTTGAGATTTTCTTTTACTATCAATTTTAAGTTCATCTTTGTGCTCAATTTAATCTGTACTCTTTTCATTTGCCACCGAGGCTTTCTTCATCTATCAAAAAACACAGCCCAGTGAATGAAACTCCCGCCAACACAAGGTCTGAGCATTAACTATAATTTAATTGATCAATGTAACCTCATTGAGATGGATATGGTGGGTCCCCAATTCACATGGAGAAACAAGACCACTAAAGAAAGAATTGATTGGATGTTAACAAATGAATTATGGAGATTGAACTTCCCAAAGTCACTTGGTAATCTCCCTTTGATCACTGGCCTCTCGTTCTTCAAACAGATTGAAATACAAATGGCAGGCCTAAACCTGAAACCTTTCAGGTTTGAGGCTATGTGGTGCAAAGACCCGAGTCTCACAAATTTAATTAGTAAAGCTTGGGGGACTGCAATTTATAAAAAAGCGCAACCCTCTAATCCAAGAAATCAAGAAATGGAATCGTGAAAAATTTGGAAATATTTTTAAGATAAAGCACAATACTCTCAAATTCGGAGGCTATCCAAAGAAATTTAGTTGATGACCCTACAAATATTTCACCATTGAACAAGGAGACTGCGCTCCAAAAACAACTGGATTCCCTTCAGGCTCGTGAAGAAGTTTGTTGGGCTCAAAAAACTAGGATTGATTGGATCAATCTAAGAAAAAAATGAACAAAATTGTCAGGATAAAAAAAAATGAGGGGAATTTCTTAATTAGCCAAGAAGAGGTGGCCGAATTTTTGCGTAATTCTTTTGAATCTAGAATTGGTTTAGGTGGTTCTGATGGCATTGAAGAGTGTATTGCAAATATTGATTCATGTATAAATGACTTAATGAATCAGTCCATCATTGTAAGGCTCCTGGGCTGGATGGGTTAAATGTTCCTTTCTTTAAAAAATTCTGGCCTATTATTGGGCGGTCATTTTGTGATATGGCTAAAGCTTTCTTTCACTCAGGAAGAATGAATAGGATCCTTAACAAGACTTTCATTGCTCTCATTTCCAAAGTTCAGAATCTTGATGCTACAAATAATTATAGGCCAATAAGCCTATGTAATGTTATTTATAAGATTACCTCAAAAATCCTGGTTAATAAAATCAAGCCTTTCTTAGATGACATCATTTCCCCATTTAAGAGTGCTTTTGTCCCAAATAGACAAACCATTAATAATATTCTTATAGCCCATGAAATGTTTCACACCATGAAAAGAAAAAAAAAAGGCAAAGAAGGCTTAATGGCTTATAAAACTGATATGGAAAAGACTTATGATAGACTGGAATGGAACTTTATAGAAAATGTTTTGATTAAATTTGGGTTCCATGAAAAGTGGGTTTGGTGGGCTATGAAGTGTATTAAGTCGGTAACTTACCAAATTCTTTTAAATGGGACTCCCACCAGAAGTTTTATTCCATCTAGAGGAATTAGACAAGGTGACCCCCTATCCCCGTATATTTTTGTAATTTGTGCTGAAGCTCTCACTAGGAATCTGGTTAAGGAGGCAGAATTGCCAAAAATCCTCGATTGGTTTTAAAGACTCAAGAAATGGGGCCAAAATTCCTATCCTGCAATTTGCATATGATTGTCTCATCTTTGCAAAAACATTGATTCCTGCTTGTCTCAAAATTAGGGATCTTCTAGAAAAGTTTGCTCGAGCTTCTGGCTAATCTCCGAATTTTTCCAACCGACCCGACCTGGTCGGGTTACCTGACATAGAAACTAAAACCGACCCAATGTTAAGCAAAACCAACCTGGTCGGTTTGAATCGGGTTGGGTCAGTTTGGGTCGGTTTCGGTTCTAAATTCATCTCTGTGATAAAATCTTGTTAATTTTAAAAACAATCATAAATTGAGCATCATTTCAGCCATCTCTTATGATAAAATTTAAATGAAAAGTTAATCACAAAAGTTGTTTATTAATCATTATTCACTAATCCAAAGTTTCTTGCAACCATTCAAAAACTAGGTGGCCTAATGGGCTTTGGAACTTCATATTTGAACTAAGAACTAAGTCGGTTCAGTTCGGGTCGGTTTCGGTTTTCTTGTGTGAAAACTGAAACCGATCCAAATCATCGGTTTAAGAATTTGCACAACCCAAAACCGACCTGTACTGATGAAAACCCGACCAACTTGGGTTGGGTCGGTCGGGTTAGTTGGTTTGGTCGGGTTGGGCCTTCTTATGAACAGCCCTATTCCACACCACGTTTGGGAAAAGACAAGGGCAATTTTCATTCATTCGGCTCCTAAAAAGAAGACCAAATACGGATGGGGAGTTCTCAATTAAAACCGCTTAATAGAGGAATGAAGATAGTGTTCCTCCCAAGAGACCTAGTGAGATCGCAAAATAAGGAACCTAAACATCCCCCCCCCCTCTCAAATACAAAACCTTCATGTACCTCCTCCTTTGTAATAAATTTCTACAAAAAATGAACTTGCTTAATAGAGGAATGAAGATTGATGGGTCTTATAGTATTTATGGTGAAAGTGTGGGGGATCTGAACTACATTTTTGTCAATTGCAACCATGCAAAACAGATTTGGTTGATTACCCAAAGTACATTCAAGTTCACAAGTGAATTAATTTTCTCAGTTCAGGAGGTGTGGAAAAAGTTCAATGATAATGACCCAAATATCTGTCAAAATTCAGATATAAAGGAAAAAGTTGTAATTTTACTTTGGCATATTTGGAAAAATAGAAATGAAAACTTTCAAAAATAAAATCTTACATCCACTATCATTCTTGATAGAGCTCTTAGCTCTTTTTGAGAGATTAAATCAGCTCCTAAGGAAAAGAGTTGGATCCCGGTAAGATGGATGAGTCCATGTTTAGATGCTATTAAAATAAACTTTGATGTCTTGTGTGTAAATGGTCACTGCTCTATTGGTTGTGTTGCAAGAGATCACTTGGGAAATATTTTTGACCTAAAAACCTACAAAATCGGATTTACCACTGTTAACTTAGCTGAAGCTTAGGCTGCTTGGGAGGCCCACAATATAATAAGCAATTTCAGAAACAGGTACATCATTATTGAAGGTGATTTGAAGCTCGTCATTGACATCTTCAACAATAAAACTAAACTGACATGGAGATTAAAGTATATCATCGAAGACTGCAGGACCATGAGATATAACTTGGAAGGAAAAGTTCAGTATCAACATGTTTTTAGAGAAGCAAATATAGTTGCAGATTGGTTAGCTAACAAAGCTCATGAAGTTTCTGTTTTGAATGGGCTGATTCCGAGACCTTTAACGTTAATTTCTTGCTTAGATTTTTGGGGACGTGCTACCCCAGAGCTATGTAGCCCCTCTGTTATTATCCCATTTTATAAAAAAAAAAAAAAAAAGAGAATCCAAAGGAAGAAGGAAACTACCCAAAAACGCCTACCTACTAACTTCCCAAAATCAATTTCATGCCAAAAGTGTGCAACTATTATGTATCATCAATTTTCTTGAACTAGAAAAAATACCGTAGCTAAAAAACAGAAACTGAGGTGGAATAAAAGCCAATAGCTAATTAACTATACAATTCATTTTCTATCCAAAAAACAGAAACTATACAATTCATTGAAACCAATAGTAGGGGACAAGCTCCAGATGAAGTTTACCAACATTATTTAGTTAGCCAGTACTGTTGAAACCTCTGCCTTGAATATTCCATGTAATCAAAATCAATTACGTTTACACGTGCCTGCAATTATACAAGACAAATCAGAGGGAAGTGCTAAGAAATTAAGAAGATTTGAATTCCACTTCTTACTGTGTCGATTAATTCATCAACGTAATACATACACAGATACATACACAGCACGCGAACAGTAAAATCTCAACCACTTCAGCAAATTATATTGTCATGGTAGGCAATTTTCTATATGAAAAAATGTTATGGTAAAAAGAAGTAATAAACAAAGGGTATGACTATGATATGGAAAATATACGATATCTAAAAAACTTCTGACCAGTCAACTAGAATCATAGATTGGTAGCCAATCAGGTGTTATTTATCAAAATTCATGGGTGGGTTTTGATTGGTCAAAACTCTTCCCGTACCATATCTTTTCGGCAACATAGATTTTCCCATAAACAAAACCATGGACCAAGTAATTTGACAGCTCTGATACCAAATTAATGCTGAATGGACCTACGAATGAAAAAGAAGGATAAAATAACCTGGGAATCAACACCTCGGCTTCTCTTGGAATCAGCACCTAATGAGACTAGTAGAAATTAACACCTAATAGCTTATTGAAGGAATCAACAACATCAAGATAATTGGATTGGATCCAATGTAAGAAGTAGAAAATTCAGAACTTATTAACTGATTTAAAAACAGAGAGGGTCTTAAGACAGGGGAATGTTGGCCAGATGAGTTAGACATATCAGGTAGTGATGATGTAGAGGACAGATGAAAATATAAAATAGGTAAAGGAGGAGCTTGGAGATGACCCCCTATTTGGTAATGTTGTTCATTCATTCATCCTAATAAAATATCTTCATAAAAGGCAATTAAAATTATAAAATCATTATTTTTTGTGTGAGAATTAAGAATTTAAGACCCTAGCATGGACCTTGTTTGGACTTGCCTCGAGGGGTTTGGTC